GACTTCCACCAAAAAGATTGGGAGGTGTTTCATAACTGTTTCATTCACATAGGCTCTGATTACATTTCTAGACTTTGACTCAATCATAAGACTACGGGATTATGGATCAAAACCACAAGACCCTGGTCAATATGCCAAGGTGAACAAGAGAAGTCGTATTCATGATGTCTTGGCCCATCCAAGGATCTTCTTGGGGTAGGGTGTGTTGTGTGTGTGTTGCTGTATCCTCAAGAATCGAGATGTGAGTGGCACATACATTTTCGACACATCAATACGTGGCCAGAGCTTGAGCTACAATGAGCTACAATTGTTGTTACACATTTGAACATCCCATTGCCCCTGCGCAGCAAGGTGTATCGCGTCGCTGGCTCATTGTTTGTGCGTGCGTCAATTAGTTTCTTTGGTGAACCATGCCTTGCAGCCAGTCGTTCGTTTTTCTGAATGTCATTCTTTCCTGTATCAATGGCCGCAGCAGCCGTGGCAGAACAAACAAAGTCGTACTAGCAGGAATGAGAACCACAAGAGTTCGATGACTCTGTGCGCAAACAAAGAGTAGATAGTGAAACAACCCAGCGGCAAAAGGTTTTCCTTGAAGACAAACAAATTTGTGTACGTTTCACCACCTAGTGATACAAATATGTTTGTTGTCTTGTATCTCAAAGTGCAAACACCGCCTTGTTTTCCCAATGCTATTTTCACGGCGGTGGTGCTGCACGGTGTTTGTTGCCGGTGGCTAATGTGAAGACCTACCGTCTGTTCGTTCAGAGGGAAAATCCTTGATCCATTTGTTGTTCAGATGTTCAGTCTAGTTATAGTTTATAACGATTTAATGTGTTTGGCAGTCGGCAAAAAAACAAAGCCATATGGCCATATGGTATGAACAAAACTTGGGAACTCTTTTCACTCTCCTCAGTCGACTCCAACCTGGATGTCGAACGCGGGATCTGCCAAGCAACGTGTTAAACGCATCATCTCCACCCCCAATCGTCTTATCGGAAGGCATCTGGCCATCAGGTTGGATGCCGTGCTCCAAGCAAAAGAGTTCCCAGCACGCATTTCCAATCTGTACGCCGCCCTGCCGCAACAGGACGCTCCACGGGTTAACATCCGAGAGACTCTACCATCCCTGCATTGGAGTGGGTTGCTTGACATGACGACCAACGCAGCAGAACAAAGCGGGGTTCGGAATATGCTGTTGATAAGGACATCTAGACCAATCCACTGTTGATTATCAACAAGCATTGGCTCCACAACAGCATGAGATGCGAATGGCGCGAGGATAGGTTCAATCTAGTGAAGAACGGCAACTGTTTGCTTCAGATATGACTTTCAGCAAAGAATCCATCGTCCAACAAAGAATGTCATCAAGCAAACATTCCAGACTGCAAAGCACGGATACCTTCCACAACATAATCATTCACTTCGGTCTACCGCTTCGTACGTGCTGTTTGTTGGTCACCACAAGCCCGTGCCGTATGAGTAAAAGGCATGCAAGCCTAGCAAACGGGTCTATAAGACCCAAAGCAAAGGGTCCGGAAGACCCAAAACCAAAGGAGCAGAAAGGCCTATAAGACCACAAACTTGAGGCCGAGGGTAGGTGACGAAAGCATACAGCGCCGTCCAGTGACAAAGGACTGGTGGGACATCAAGCGGAGTGAGGCAAATCTTTTTTCATAGGCATGGGGCTGTTGGAGGGATGGTTCACAAGGTCTCGCGCATGAGGTAAAACGTTGTGAACATGTAAGACACACGAACAGCAATGACACAGCCAACCTGAGCTTGTGAATCTGTTGAATCTGTTGCATCGTATCCCAAAACCTCCACGGAGGAGTTGAACCAAAGTGGATGCCATTGATGCCATAAGAGGTGCCCCGTCCCAGAGGCGTCCCAGGGGAGAGTTGAACCCGCGGGGGGGGGCCCTCTACATATGAAGTTTTCACGTGATGCTGCGATCTCGAGGATTCCAGCCCCTCACTTGCTAAAGCAAGGACAACTCCAGCTAGCTGGTGCTAGCTTTCGTGACAAACCAATCCAAGACGGTCTAGACCACAAACAAACCAAAGGATGCCAAGAACATTGCTAGGTCGAACGGCTGGGGGCAGGGATGGTGGGAGCCGAAACGGGTGGACCGGTTCTACAGCTTCGTAGGCGCTGTTTGTTGGTCATCACAGCCCGCGCCGTATGAGTAAAAGGCATGCAAGCCCGCCAAGCCAAGGGTCTATAATGAGACCCAAAAAAGGGGGTCTATAAGACCCAAAACCAAAGGAGCAGAAAGGTCTATATGACCACAAAAGAACCAAAAGGTCTATCCCAAAGCCATCAATTCCTGAATCAATCCTTGATATAAAGATTGATCCTAAGCAAATGTTCGAGGTAGCAGACCAGGAAGGCCCCTGATCCTCAATAATAACTTTGCTTTAAGGGTTCTCAATTGTGCAAAGTGTTTTCCTCAAAAAAAATAAACAAAAAAAGATCTCAATGCTGTACTACTAAGCCAATGGCTGGCTTGCTGAGAGTATGATTGGTAATCATAGATGTCTTTAGTTCTTCAAAACTCACAGCTTCCCAAAGCCATCAATTCCTTAATCAGTCCTTTATGTAAAGATTGCTCCTAAACAAACTTTCAAGGTAGTAGACATCAAAATCTGCTGAAGATCTGATCTGAGGCTGCATAGGAAATGGACCCTAATTACAAAGAACATGAGAAAGGACAATGCAAACTACATTATTACAATCAATTACAAAAGGAATCCTCCCAGGAACCCAGATTTGCTTTGGTGGTAGTTTGGGCCTCCCATTTGTGTAGAGGAGGGAGGGGACCTCCCTTTACTAATCAGGATCCAAAATTACAAATTTAAATGGTACGTACCAATATATATATATATCAATGCATAACCCACTGCCATGTCTGTGCCACGCAATGATTAATGATCGAATGTAAATGTTAAAGGTCACTACGTGACTTGATCAGCGTTTGCCACATGTGGCTTTGCTGCTGCACGCTGTTGCGCCTGGCCGATGTGGATGCAAATCGCCTCACGCATGGCTTCGAGAAAAGCGGAAAGGTGTCAGAAGCACACCGTGTGATGTGGCAGCGCCTCAGGCACAAATCCTTGAGCCAAACATGGCAGAGCAACATGTTGGATCATCATACCACCCAATTGATATTTCATCGTTCGCTTTAAGCATGCAAAGCTTCAGAGGTGATTTAGAACGTTTAATCATGCCCTACAGTACCGACCGGCCTGTTTTTTTAGAAAGGCAGCGGACAACTTGCTGAACAAAAGATAATTGTCTGCATCGTCGGCAATCTTTGCTGCCACCATGTCTGCTTGAAGAAGAGTGGCCAATCTCTTTGACGTCTCAGAAACAAAAAAGAACCGAGCTGAGAGGCCCAGATGCGCAAAGTGAGGTCTCTACAGGTCATGTAGACTGTTGATTCATACTATTCACTATTCATTTAACCCCCCACCATGTAAAACCTGCATTGACAGATCATGAAGAGTCTACAAGAGTCTACCATCCCTGGACCCCCACATGCCCGTCGTCCGGGCCCGGGACGGCGGAGCGGCCTCCCCCACTCGTTGGGCCAAACGCCTCAGACTCGCCTAATGATCCTCACGCGGTGTGAAGCCGCTGTGGAGCCGCCTCCAATTATTATCAAAACGCCGCATGCCCTCGCGCTCCCCCTTCGCTCGCGCCCCCGCGCCGGCGCGACTCGCGTCTCCGGTCGCCCTCGCGCCTGAGGTTCTCCGGCTTCACCGCGTACTGGTCCCCGGAGTCGATGAGCCGCACGATGAGCCGCGAGGTGCCTCGGACTCGGACTTGGTCGGTCCGTCCGGACACAGCGGCACGGTCGCGGTCGCGGTTCGAAGGCGAAGATGGCAAGCGAAGTGTTTGCGTGTCTGATTCAGTGACGTTGATTTGGGATGAACATAGGGAGAATGAGGGAGATGCGCAGCAACAGAGTAATACAAGGGTATATGGAGCGCCCAATCCTTTGATCAACTGTACTGTACTTGTGACCACTTCCAGTTTCAACTATAGAGAGTCTTCTAGATGGGGTCAGGGATTTCCATGGTCCTTCCAAAGGGTGTCGTATAGTGCCGCCATGTTAGCGTTCAAACAACCCTGCAAAAAGAGAGGTCAAGCGAAATGCAAAGTCTTGTCCCTAAACCTACGGATTCATCATATTCATCATATTCATCTAACTATGAAAATGGGTCAAAACCCTGTAAACACTGACCTGGGTACGAAGCAGGCTGCAGCTGCGCTCGCATGCGCTCACATGCGCTCACATCTTTTTCCACACGTCACACCCCGTGTCCATCCGAAGGATCTCTTCAGTGGAAATCCTAGACTGTCAAAAACTGAGAACGTTGGTCAAATACAGTGCTTGCAGTATGCTTTTGAATAGAAGCAAGTCTTCTCAAATATGCTGGGTGTGTAATCTAATTAGATTTCACCTCTGAGTGGCAAACAAATAGAAAACATCACTTCATCACCAAAGGTCTTAAATCATTTTGATCTGCTTTGACCAGTGCTTCTGCCCTGAAATATCTGAAATATTTGCCCGCATATGCCCTGAAATATTTGCCCGCACGCATCCGCAGAATGTCAACCATGGTTCTCCAGAAATACAAAAATAAAACACCAAACAACTATATGCAAGCAGGATATGAAGAGCAAATATCGTGCCCTCCGTAGCTGAAGGCACCTCTCAAAGGAGTCCAAAGGTACCTTATGAGGTTGAGTATGTTTTTTGCAATCCCAATCCATCCAAACAGCACAGCACAGCACAGCAGTCTGTGCAAGATGCGCTTCTTCGCAAATGATGACACACGTCTGTTCGTGAAAACCGCTCTGTAGTTCCTCATGGGCCGAAATCACCAGACATCACGCAGAATTCCTGAACATGATGTCAGCGTGATGTCTGGTGATCTAGACCCCAAGAACTTATAGAGTATGTGCGTGAAATTATCACTTATGAGAACTTCACCCCAAGGAACATACGGAACATAATTACTCACGTTCTCATAATCTACCGAAAGACCGCTGCAGAGCTCAGGGGAGGTTGGGAAAAGACCGGTGGTCTTCACGTGTCTTCACTCGACCTCTGTAGGACCTCTTGATCTTCACGCGTCTTGCCCTCGATGGCCTGGCGGAGATGCGTGGTGTTTGTTCGCAAGTGCTACGCTGAACATGTGTGGGCTCAACATGTTCGGACTGCGGATTGTCGTCTTCAAAATTAAGGCCAACATTTGTTGGACGACTTGCACTCTTGAAAAACACAAAAAAACGACTGCTTACGTATTGGAGCCGGTCAATCCTCACCCCGTTCCAAGGATGTTCCAAGCATTCAAAGACCCGCCTGTAGCAGTCGTGCGAAGACCGGCGGCAGGGGCGCACGGAAGACCTGCTTTGGGCGGCTAAGGCGCGCGCCAACGCCGAGTCCGGCGCGGTGGAGACCTGGAGTGTTGCTTGCAGCGGAGCAGGTTGCAGCGGAGCGGGTGTCTGCTAAGCGGGCGGATTAACCCTGTCAACCGGTGTACCTTGGTTGGAACAGGTCTAGCAAACATGGTCAACCATGTCAACCTAAGAGGGTGTTTCACGGACTTCAGGTTTTGACCCACGGCCACAGTTCGCAGGAGTGAGTCCGTTCCACCTGTGTCCCAGCGACCAAAAGCAAGGGATTGACCGATCGGCAATTCTTACATAGGTTGGATGAGATGAGATGGAGTCCTATAAGTCTACACCAAAGTCTACCAACCATAAGATATGTCTATGGAAGTCTATGTCCATCTACAGTATATGGAATCTAGACTCTAGACATCCTTCCAACCTTCCAACCTTCTAACCGTCCGAGTTCGGAGTCTTCAGTGATTCAGCCGCAGTGGCAGTGCTGTGGGCAAAGGGGACTGTCCAAGCGGAAGGTCTCTTCAGCGCAGTACCTGCACCGCTTGGATGGGCTGAAGATGCGCTCGGTGCTTCTCCATCTCCGTCTTTTTCGCCGCTTGGAACGCCAATGAAACATCACCAAAAAGAGTGGTGAGATTTTCTGATGCGCCCGTCAAACTGGATGATGTAAAGTCCTATATGAAGGAAAAGTGCCTCCCCAATCACTCCAGAGGTTAGTCTTCAATGTTTCCTTCCAACATTAAATGCTACTTCAAACCCTCACAACCAGACCTCTCCAAATCCAACCAAACCCATCTCAGTCTCACTTATATAACAGATCTTAAAAGAAAGTTACATATCAGAAGACAAGAATCTGCAAACATAGAAGAATTAACAAAATAGAACAAGCAATAACAATATCTCTGTATTGATTATGTGTTTTCTTATATATGTGTTCCTTACCTTATTGTATCAATCTTATTATTGTTCTTGTTACTCTTCACATCGTCTTCCCAATGTTGCAACGTCGTCCCCGATGAGGGCACTTCCCGTCACACAGCACTGGATGCCCCACGTGCGCCAGCTGCGCACGGATCTGATGCCTCCGCCCCGAGCCCAAGGTTAGGCCCAAAAGCGCACACGCCTCACACGGCGCGTGGAGAGCACGGGCTGCCCACCCTGTGCTGCCCCGGACCCCGAATTACGAAGATGAACCAATCCGACTAAACCCACCTCCCAAACCCAACTCCCATCGCTCCCGCGTCAGCTGCACTGAGAGCGGTGATCGTCGTCCACCTCACCTGCGCCCGATGGAGCACTCCGGCGGCCAGACGTTGCACATAGGTCACGCTGGGCTTTCCGCGGCCCACGCGGCTCGGGCCACGATCCGCCTCTTGACGGACTCAGCGGAGGCGGAGGCAAAAAACAGCGCGGTATACCGAGCGCGCGCGCGCCCCACAGGCGGGAAAACTATGGATTCACGGGGGTCGGTGTCGAGCTGGGCAAAACGTGGTCGTCAGAATCAGTGAGGCTCCTCGGATCATGGATGGTCATCGTGTGATTTCTTCATATTTCAACACATGATCTCTGTGCTTTTAATGTTCCATGTTTGGAACGTCTATATTGGACACGACATTTGCCATGGGTTTTTGCATGGTTCAGGTGCTCCAGGCGTTTGGCCGAACCGCTGGATGGCCGCACCGGGTTCCGGGGGCCCCCAAAATCGGTTGCGGAGACCGTCCGATCGTAGATCCCTCTGGATTGATGTGAATCCAAAACACTCAAGGGCTCCATAGGCTCCATAGGGCTGGCATATGTGACATTGGGGTGGTTGGATGGGTCCATGGCCTTTTTCTTCCGGTCGCGCGCGAAGCGCGAACGGATCCATCGATCGGCAGGTCGGATCCACGTCCCGGGGGATGGTGCGAACGCTGAATCCGCGGAGCGCATCTTCACGAACCCTGGCCGAAGCACCTGGCCAGACAGAATATATAGGAACCTCTGGCCAATCGACTCTGAAGGGATTTATCCTCTCTTTGCAAAGGGGGATGGACTGCCATCCATGTTGAATGGAACGTAAGCCTGAGTGTATTCCTGCAAGTCTCAGGAACATCTATCCACCTTGAATCAACTACAGCTACACTCACCTTTTCGTCCATACCTGCGCCACCGATGGGTCCTTCACGAGCGGTCTCTCCCGGCCTTCCATGTCACCCGTGCGCGGATCGCATCTCGAGCTGGCGCCAGGCCATGGCAGAGCACCAAATACTCGCGCTGCAACTGGCCCAAAGTCAGCTGCAGCTTCAGGTCATAGTAGGCCTGCTGGTGGCAGCTTCTTTAAGTTTGGTCAGGTCATTCATCTTCTGCTGTTTATCTTTTTGGGATATTTTTGGTCAAGGGATGTCAAGTGAGTATGATGGGAGGGAATCCCAAGTGTGCATTAAGTACCCTTTGCAGAGTAGAACACACTATATATAAGAACATAATATAAGAATATATAAGAACCCTCTGATTGCTGGAAAGACCCAAAAGAATCTTCCCAATCTGGAAGTAGCTGGAAGGACACATCTCAAAGTGGAAAGACCGCTCATCCCATCCCTGAAACCTGGTCAAATACTTACAGAAAATCACTGCCTTCATTCCGACTCTTCCTTGCAAACACAAGAAAAGAACAGCATATGATACTGGCATAAGAACTCCTCTGTGGAATAACCGGTGGGGGTTGAGAACCCTATTTTATCGTGATAAATGACTGAACCAGGCTCTGGGAGCACAATGCCAATATTCATAAGAACGAATCGTCTGAGTAAGTTGGAAGGGTCAAACCAACTTCCCTATCGCTGAAAGCTTCGTTCTCAGTCGCCCGGTTTGTCGGAGCCTCTGTTTACCTCTCAATTGCCCGGTGCCTCGTAAGTGAGCCCACAAAGCAGCAATCCACTCGAAGGCCTCGCTCAGCGCACGCGAAAGCGCACCCAAATTGGAAGATCTGGTCAAATCCAAACAACCAACCAGAAGAAACAGTTCTGGTTCAACATGGCGCCAGCTCAGATCCTAACAAGTGGTTAGGACTGGGGAGTTCCATCCAGACTTGTTTCTGGTACCGGGACTGAGTAAACCCAGGAAGATCTGCTTGGCTGGCTGAGTAGGCCTAGCAGCCGAGCTCGAGCTTCAAAGCCTTGCTCACTGGGCGGTTGGGAGGTGAAGACCGACTGGGCAGGGGCTGAAAGAACAGCAGATCATGGCAGTCATGGCTGTCACATCTGTTCGTTTTCTTCTCACAAAGATGTCATCTTGAACATTAGAACGTCTTTCGTTGCACCTGTCCTTCCTTCCAGAGACATAGTGCTATACTGGAGAAAAAAAAAAAAACTGGCTTCCCCTGGTTGCCACCCAAACCTAACCAAGTTTACACGTTGCGAACAGTCCGAACCTCACGTTCACATCGCGGCCCACGCGGCCGGGTCACACGTCCAAGCGGTGCACAAAGCCGCACTGGTGCGGCCGATCGCGCAGCACGGGGCGATCGAGGCCGGAGGCCTGCGAGATTTCGGAACAGGCAAGGCCTGGTGGGGAGAGGGAAAACCCCAAGGTGAAATGAGGGATGGTGGATGATGGCGATCAACTGCAGACGGTGAGTGTTTCCAGTCCTCAAAGAGGCCAGGCGGCTCAGTGCCCAACTGTTTGGGCAATGATTCAATCAGCAAAAACCTTGAGACCCCTCCAAAGTTATGGTTTTCTGCAGTCCCACCACCAAGGTTGGCCAATTCCGATGTGACTGATGTGATCAATCTGTGGTCACTCGAAACGATCAAACGACCCAGCAGGGGTGGCGGAGGAAGACAACCGCAGAATTCAGGGAGCGCGAATGTCTACTAACCATGGCATGGTGTGTTCAGAACCGTAAGATATCGTAAGTGGAGAATGTCTTCAATCAACAGTGGTGGCCTGGGCAAAGTCAGCACAAAACATACAAAACTGGGCATGGCTTCATGGCCAATGCTTTCTACAGTTCTTGCAAGCCAAACCGTAGAGCCGTGGGTTGACCTTACAAATGGTGAATAGAGGACATACGGATTTTAGATACCAGGCTACTCTCTACCTAAGTCCCGGTTGTCACCCAAAGTGGGTTCCATGTTGGGTGAGAGTTGCAGCCACGTCTGTGCTGGTCATTACTCAAATTAGAAACAAAACGTCAACAGGTTGCATTTCCGTGGCTACCAGCCGCTTGTCCTAAGTGAAAGTCCATGCAAAATCCTATACAAACACCTGCACCTGGGCCACACCCTGTCCCACATAAAATACGCTTACAGCGCGCGCGCGCGTGTGCGCGCGGCTGTCGAGGCGGGTCTTTTTTGGGCCCAAAACGGTCTGACAGGCATAGCGAAGCCACCTGCACGGACAAGTCAGACAGGCAAGTCGTGGATGTTCCATCAACCAGAGAGGAGATTGAGATCGACACCATCTTGGACCTTCCGACAATTCTCCGGAGCCCAGTGTATATAGTAGATGTGGATAGATTTGATCTGTTGGTGACCCGAAAAACAGCAGATGCATCAGGTGCTGGTAACCGAAATGAATGGAATTCTTGTACCTTCTTGTATGTTCTTGTATAGCATCCAATAACGTCCAATACACGAGTTCTCTGGGGGGAGGATCAACTGAATCGACACTCCTCAGACTTCGGCTTGCTCAGGTGTCACCCTTTTTCCGTCTCGGGGCGCTCCGCTGGATCACTTCGGACGTGAGGAGAAAGCCCCGAACGAAGGCTCCCACACGGCTGGGCCGAGAAGGAAACACCATGCAACGAATTGGCAGAGATCGACCGCGCCCTCTATGAGCTTCGCCTCTTCAGGTATACAAGCATAAACATCATAAACTTTAAAGAAAAACATGTACTTTGAGTCACCACACCATACTCGCGATCCATCCGACCTTCGCCCCTCAAGTTCGCCCTTCCACGAACGATCCGTGGGGTGAGTGCTTGGAGCTGCTTGCATCAGATGCATCACCTTGCGGATCCGTGCGGAGCCTTGCGGCTGCGTCACATCGTTCGTTGCTTCTTCCTCTGGCCAAGTGGAGAACACCGATCCCTCAACACCGATCCGACCGGCGACCCACGCGACCACGCTTACCCTGAGGGGTCCCACGGCTTCTTGCTGACGGAGCGGCCGGACGCCGGCGTCCAACGTCCGTCCGGTTGGCCAGGGACCGGGCCAGTCGATGCTTCGCACCGGTGCCGGTGGTTCTCCAGCCTCTTGAGACAGGAATCAGGATGAAGCAGGAGCTTAAGATACTCACCCAGCACCGCCAGCACTCCAGACGAACTTCCAGAACTTCCAGTCCAGACTGAACGCAGCCTTTGGTTTGGTCTCCGATCAGAATCCCGTGATGAAGAGCTCACTGGCGCTCTCCGCCAGCGCCATCATGGTCTCTGCCACCTCCTTCAACCTCGTCTTCTCTGTCGTCTCCACCGCACGCGTCGTCCCGCGCGGAGCGGAAAGCTCCGCGCGGAGGAGCCCGGTGGGCGTGGAGTCGTTCACCTGCCGAGGGTTTGGACGCAGCCCAAGATGGGCCGCCCAAATCAATCTTTGCATGAGATGAATCCCCCCAACATATCCATCCGAAGATATCCGAAGCACGTCTTTTTCAGGTCATGTCATGACTGGTCATCCAAAAAGAAGGTTTCTCCCAACAGTCTTGAGCTTGATCTGGCTTGATGGCGATTACTTATGATTACTATTCAGGTGAGGACACTTGCTTCATTCTTGGGTGAACCAACCCTCTCCTGTGGCGAATCCGCCCGCGTGCCCACTGGCACCGGCTCCAGCTTCAGCACCGCGAGCAAGGCTGCCCAGGAGCCGCGACAGGTCTTCTGCAGCGAGTCAGGGCAGCCGAGGTACCTGGAGAAGGGAGATGAAGGGTGGGTGCCTGGACTTGAGCTCATTTTCTCATTCTCTTGCTAAGCGCCAGTCAGGTTCAAGATTGGAAAAAAATGAGAAAACCAGGGACCACAAACATCTTCAGAGGCCTTTAAGGTGAAATGATCCACCCTTCACAAGAACGGGTCTTTGAGGCGACTAGAAATCCACCCTTCCTGTGAATTGCTGGTGGAACATATCATTAATAATAGTTAATCACTATAGTTCGCATCCCAAAGGAAACAAATCACTGTCCCCTTCCATGCTGACCTGTGTCTGTGTGTCCAAAAAAAAAGCAACTTCGGACCGACCGCGCATCCGACACCGCTGGGCTCACTGGAAGACGTGTTGAAGCTCTCGGACTCTTGCGTCGGCCTCGCGGAAGTCCACGCAAGTCACGCGCTTCCCGGTGCAATGGGCGCACTCGTTGATGATGAAGCGCTGCTGGGGATCAATCTCCTTATGGGCACTGGTTCTAGTGGCGAGAAGGTGATTGAAAATGACACAAGAGATTCAAGAAGACTCCACCATGGACGGTGTGGAATCACTTGGGTCCGACCTCTTGGAAGACCGAAAGACGCTTGTGCTTTACTCGTCAGGTGTTATATTTTGAGACGAATCCATCTTCTTTGCAAAAGCCCTCCACCTAGAGATGTACAGCTTTTCGTGGAAAAAACATGAAACACCATCTGCCTGCGACTTTCTGGCCAAGCAGCAGAACTCGTCTCTGTCAAGGTTTGAAGCTGATCTGCCAGTTGGAAGAAACCCTTCAAATGCCTTCGCAGCACTTTCAAATGAACAAACATCCCACTGCTGCGCAAGAGCTCTGAGAACTCATGAATGAGTTCCTCTTTCGGTGTCATCACCTCCATCTCTGCTAAGCGCTTGGCCGCATGTTCTGCAGCACCTGATTTGGACAACAGCTGCCGGATGGAGGCACGCGCGGCCTCTGGCGGTAAGTAGTTTTGCTGGGCTGCTTCCATGCGGCAAGCAAACTCACTCAAAAATGGGTGAAGCTTTGTGATGTCGAAGCCGTTCTCAGGCAGACCCAACATTAACCTCTTCCCAAAGCGCTCCTCCATCATTTGGCCATTGTGCTGTTGCTCATGTTGCTTGTTGAGCGGGATCACAACCCCCACAGGCGCTGGAAAAGCATCAAGCATGTCTGAGAGCTCACCACAGGCGCCGGCTCCAGCCGTTACAATGCCATGGCCTTGTGCCAGTTGGCAAATGCGCATGACGTTGCGGCGGCCACCCATCTCCGCACTGGAAAGGCCCTGCTTATGCCATGCCTTCCCACAGCCGACGACGAGGGTCTTGGGGTACTCATTCATGTGCCGAATGTAGTACTCCAAGATGGAACGACCGCTCAAGTGTGCATAGACATAAACCACATGTTGAATGCTCTCTTCAGTGGCCCCTTCCACATGCACGACTCCCTCATGCACCAGTCCAGCCTCCTGCGTCCCCAAGCGCCGCCCGTGCTGAAGCAGAAACCGCACGGCTGCCCGGCGGTCGGCGGCAAGGTCCGCGTAGAGCTCCAGGTCTTCGCGGCTCAGGCGGCGGAAGCGGGGGTCGATGATGTCCACGTGCGCCACCGCGAGATGCTCACGGCCCATGTTGAGCACCTTCACCAAGAAGGTGCTCTTGATTAACCTCCGCAGCGTGAGAAGAACTTGCTGGGTCAAGATCTCGGGAGACATCTGGTGCCAATAATGATGGCAAACTTCCTTGAAGTGAGACCCGTAGGCTTTGATCTCCTCCCTGGAAGTGATGCCAAAGGAGTGCAAGAGCAAGTCTTGGTGGTTCTCATAATCCAAGCACCGCATCGACCTACAGACCTCAGCTTGACCGGCAGCTCTCAGCTTCAGAGCAGCTGAGGTGAGGTTCGGATCCATGTCGGTGAGCACCACCAGCTCCGCCGCCGTTTCGGCCAGCAAGACCTCCAGGAGTGCGCGCGCGGTGGGCAGCAGGCTGGGCCCCAAGTCCTGGAGACAGCCGCAACTCTCCGGGGGGCGTGTCATCCGGTGTTTAGGTCTCCTGACTGATGAACTAACATGAACTAGCTGAGCCCATCTGAGCCCTAGAACTGTGTTTCAGAAAAAAAGATGAGGGCACGGAACTTCAGGGAGGATCCTTTTTTTTTCTGACAAACGTGTTCAAGATCTTATCTTCTGACCAACTCTTCGGTCCTCCCAAGACACTGGCTGGGCGTTGAAGAGCACAAAGCCGCGATCGCAAAGGAGCTTCTTGGCTTCCTCTCCACGGTAAACCTGCAGCGATGTTTGCAACAAAGAGGCCTTGGGCCGCATGGGCCCTCGTCTTGTGGGTTGCTGAAACCAACCAAACAAAAATATACATGACAAAACATGTCATAACATTGCGCTGAACCATTTAAACATGAATAAACAGTTATATATAATACAGTATAATTAACAAGAAACCCATCAACTTCAGCTGCATGTCGCTGAAGTAGAAGTGACAAAAAGGCAGATGTGCCCCCTCCTCTTTTTAGGCACTGAGTCGGACCTCCGGTCGTGCCACCACCATCTCCCACATCAACTCCTTCGCCGCAGCAGCTGCCTGCGTGGTGTAGAAGCCCGTGACGCTCTTCAGCGC